TTCCATGGGTCAAGTTTGGCTTGACCGAGGCGGAGTACAAGGTCCGCGGCCGCTACGGCAGATGCTATTGGTGCAACAGCACCAAGCACAAGACCTCCCTGTGCCAAGATCAGGGCAAGGAGGATGTGTGACCCCGCCTCAGCTCGGGAAACTGAACTCCGCGGAAGGTGAGGCGACTCCACCTTCTACGCCGCCAGATTCGGCCGCCTTGCTAGCGGCCTCCTGCACATCTGGGGAGGATGCGAATGTCGTAAGTCCTCGGTATACTTACGAGGATTATGCTGTCCACTTGGTTCCACCGCTGGACCAACCGCTCCACGTGCAACAGTCCACCGCATGCACGGTTTCATCACCATCGGCAACCGATTCGGCAGCTTCGCCGCAATCTATCGCCGGGGATTCGACGTCATGGTCAAGACTTGAAGAGCTCGACCAATTGACGTTCACGGACTTCCAGTGGATGCCCGTTCCCTCGACCGGACGATTGCCGAAACCGCATTGCATCGTGCTTATGGCACAATTGCAGGACTACTTGCACACTGCAGTACCAGCTCCGTTGATGGACGCCGGAGCAAAGGTTGTCGACCTTCACGCTTTCATCGCGAAGATCGACCGCGAGTTCAAGACGCAACGGTACGACGACATCGACGCACCATTGCTATACRTACGCAYTCAGATCGGARAGGCGACCTGCAGTGCCTTGATCGATTGCGGAGCATCTCGCAACTACATCAGCCAGGACTTCATGGTACGCGCCGGCCTTGGCCCACGTGTCCGGAGGAGGTCCCAGCCTACGCAAGTCACTCTGACAGACGGTCATACGCACAAGTCCATCAACTGGTGCATTGACGTCGTCCCAGTGTACTTTGCCCCCCACGCAAGTGAGGCGGTGTCCTTTGACATTCTGAACACCAAATTCGACATGATCTTGGGCATGTCATGGCTGCGAAGCAAGGATCACCCGGTGAACTTCTTCAACCGCACCGTTCATGTTCGTGACCGGAACGGAGTATTAGTTTCATGCACGGTGCCTCTTCCTCATCATTCCATCAACTGCCACGTGGTATCCGCCGCAAGCATGCGAGTTTCCATCATCAGAGACGACATCCAGGAGATGGGGGTGTGTTTTCTCCACGCCCTCCCGCCACATGACGCTTCATCGACGGACTCACCTTCGGATCCACGCATCACCGAACTTCTCGACGCCTACAGCGACCT